GATATCCCCATACCTCATTAATAACAATGGATAGGGTAGAATATTATACTATCTTTACAAGTGTAAAAATATCGTAAAGGCAGAGAAACATCTAAGAACGTTTACCAATATAAACAACTTTTATTCTCTGTCACGTTCTTTGAAAGGTAAATCACCAAATGAGCCGCACAAATCTCAAATCTCTTTCAATSACATTATTTTGTTTTTCACGTTGTTTACAATTGAAGTTGTAAACGTTTATACATTATTACAACATATATCGTTTTGCTACTATTCTACAAAAGTCAATCTTTAACGTTGTACAGTTTTTTAAAGACGTAAAGACAAAAACTTTATTTCCAATTTTTTTTTTTAAATTCCCGGGAAGAATGTAATTTGAAAACTCAAGATGTAGAGATGTTTTACTTGATGTTAAATATTTATGGAAAAAAATGCGATATATTGCATTGTCTTTATGCCCCCCCCCCTTTACAACTGAGCAACTTTCATGGGATTTCAGAAAACGTTGAATATTGCAGACACTGTATTCTAAGATCGAAATGCGTTGTCGGTCGTTCTATCGCCTTTCAAAAGTAATTTACCTGGTTTCAGAGTAAATATACCGTACAGTCAAAAAGTTCATTGGAAAGCATTCAAGGTTGTAACGCCAATACCATTGAGTTTAATGGCAACAATGCATTGCAGTCTTGGAATGCACCAATCAGTCTATTCATTATAACAATTGATGAAATGTAACATTTTGATAATTGCAAACGTTCAATGTTTGTGGTCACTGAACATGACTGATTTTCAGGGTAAACCTCTTCGAATGGATTCTGACACCAATATTTTTGTGACTTTTACACAAAAACTTCATATTAGTAAACTTACATATAATTAAATATATTTACGAAGTATAATTATAGATTAAATTCAATGGGTATTGGTTTCAAGTCAGTTTTCTTTTGCCGTTTTACATCAACATCCTCGTCKGCGCAATCTTCCTGTAGGTCTATTTTTCGTTTTCTTCTTTGCCTCTCCACCTCTGCTAACGAAATAATCTGTAAATAAAGACAAAGAAAAAGATTAATGTCGCATGATAGTGCAGCCGCTTTGGAAGTGTGTTTTCAAACAAATACCGTATTTAGAGGGGAGGGGGGGGGTATCGGAATTTTTTTGTGTCATATTATTATTATTTTTTTAAATATATAAAGTATAATTTTTTTGTTTTGGACCTTTGTGCTGGCAATATATTTTTTTAACAGAATTATTGGATATACATACAATCCTTTCCATGGCAATATTTTTTTTCTGACAAAATGCCAAGGCAGACTTTTTTTTCTTTTTCTTTTTTTTTTTCTTTTCTGGAAACAAGAGCGACGACCAGGATTTGCAAAGTGCTAAAAGTTACTAATACCACCAGTTGGAAGCTTTACTTAGCATCATAGTTACAGCCAATAGTGTTTTGCGTATGTTAGCTCATCATCTTGGAACATTTTCGCTATTATCGATGTGATTGGATGTTAAGCTTTACGCGTCGTTAGTTTATGATTGTTTAGGCTAACAAAGAACTTTAGGTAGTGTACAATGGATCTAGTATAAATCGAACCCAAGCTTTATGTAGTGTTTAAAGTCCGACAATGAGGACCGGACGGGATTTCAAGTCCGCGCAATTAGTTCCAGTCCGAGACGTTAGGGGACTGGAACTAATTGCAAGGACTTGAAATCCCGTMCAGTCCGAATTGGATGACGAAGGAAATACATCAGTCTACAACAGAAATATATTCATTGCATAATAACAATAATAATAATAAAGGTCTTTATTGATCAACAGATTTCAACAAACGTGGAATCTTTACAAATTACTAGTATTAAAAGAATAATAAAATGAAGAAGAAATATGTATTAAAATTATTTAAAAAGACATCTGTTTATGAAAGAATGTTTGTATCGTTCGGTCTTAACTTTCGGTAGAATATAGTTATGTTCTCTTTTCCGCAGCGATCGAGTTCGTTTTTGTGGTAGCAGTTCCTGCAGTATGTGTTCATCATCGTCCGTGATCTTTTTAGATAATAGATTGTCCCTTTCTTTAATGACTTCAGATATTGAAATTTGATGGGAAGTGTAGCCAAACTTATGCGATCTTTTCAGAAAGGCTTCTATTCTGTCAAGGTACCGACGTTGGTATGCTGCTCCCCAGACTTCAATTCCATATTGAAAAACTGACATAATAAGATGTTCGAATAGTTTATGGAGCTGTTCTTTAGAGTAGCCGTAACCCTTACACACTCTAATAATGTAGAGACGACTACTGGCTTTTTTCAGAAGGCTGTCGATGTGATATTGCCAGTCAGTGGGCTTTTCCTGCAAAGTAATACCTAAGAGTTTGAGCCAGTCAGTCTCTTCTCTCGATATCTGGTAAGAGCGGTGGCTGTTCTTTCTTAGTCCTACCGTGTATAGTCATCTCCCATGTTTTAGAAATGTTCAGGGTCATTCTGTTGGTATCAGCCCACCTTTTGATACTGTWTACCTCGCTAAGAGCAGAGTCACCAGATGCAGTAACGGGAGTACAAACCGTTATATCATCCGCGTATTTCACCATCAAGTTGGAATTAGGGTTGGCAGTAGTGATGTCGTTGACCATCAGAGAGAACAAAACAGGTCCCAATACAGTCCCCTGAGGGACACCTCTGATTTTTACAAGGTCCGTTGACAACAAGCCATTGACAACAACTCTTTGTTTACGATCGGCTAGAAAGTCTATAATCCAGTTGATKATATACGGGTTGAGACTGGTTGTTTTAAGCTTATCACATACTACACCTTTTGAAACTATGAAACAGATGTCGATATGTTTGTTGTACAATTCAGCTTGGAGAGAGGGTGATGCATCAGGTTTGACCATCGATCGAGCGTTCAAAACCATATAGGAAGGAATAATTTGTTTCTTAGGGGGCTCAGTTGGTAAAACTTTGATGTTAATTAGATTCGATGTTATTCTGGTAATCCCCAGAGATTGCTGTGGTCTTGCATAATTATCACTTTCGCTATAATGGCTTCTGTTAGGGCTTTTTGATGAAACGAGCGACCAGCTCTGCAACTACCGTTCCTAAGTAAGCCAAGTGATTTTACGCGACCCAAGTGACCCAAGTGATACGCGACCCAAGCGAAGCRAGATACTTCTGGTAATCATTTGTGGACTTTGGTCGTCGGCTTGAGAGTAACTATGAACTACGAACAATTTCTTGAGTTTCCAGGATGAATAAGAAATCCAAAGCTAAGATTTATAAAGCTTAGAACTTACTAAAAATATAAAAAATTTGGAGAGCGATTTGAAGTGCTGCCATCCGTGGCGCTTACAATACACTCCATCTCCACCAAGGTTTTCAGTTTTTCATAATTTTGAATATTAAAGCACCGTTTGTTGTTCTCCAATTCCCGAACTGGTTTCTGAAACAAAAGCTATCCAAATTGTCTTTCATGGCATTCTTAAAGGCTGATTTACACGGCACGATTGTCTCGTGCGATTTATAGTATACGACTTGAATCGCGCAGTGTAAATGCCCCTACGACTTGTCTACAACAGTCGTACGCAACCTACGACTTGTAGTAGGATTTTAAACCACTGCTTAAAATCCTACGACTTGTAGTAGGAAAATCGTATACTACACGTCGCGCGCGACAAATCGTACCGTGTAAATCAGCCTAAAGGGACACTGTCAATGAATGACATGCGCGAGTAAACTTGAAAACACTAGGCTAGTGTTTTCAAGTTTATGACTCGAAGTTGGCGCGACATAAATCAGCTCGTAAACGTAAACAGATCTAGAATATTCCAAAGTGTGTCAAAAGCACCACAAAATGATTTACCTCGAAGGTAATACTTTCAAAGTCCGTTAGAGGTGAGACTGTTACTGCGCATGTCATCCACTGACAGTGTCCCTTTAATGAGCCTAGTTCATAAGATTTATAAGTATGCTACCTTCCGAAGAATCGCATCGGAAACTCGACGAAAAAACTGGACGGTAGGGGATCAATTCGTGAGGCAGTCATGTATCCAAGACCTTTTTTCACTAAATGAATTCTATAGGTAAATTCATTGGGTGACGAGTGAATTCCGCGTTGGTATTTAATAAATAGTATTTTAATAATTGTGACGTTATATTTATGAGTTTTGGATTTTTTTCGTTTGAAAACGGTACTTTTATCGAGTTAAACTTAAATGTGTTTTTGTTTTTGCTACTGAATTTGCAAAAAAATGAAAATATTTTGCTTCTTGAAATCTAGAGAAAGTGAATAGACAAGTTGTTGGGAACTAAAACAATTAGATACTAACTTTTGTCAGGGTTTTACACGGTTTTGTGAGTAAATTGTTGAAATAACGCAAATGTTTTAAGGTAGCTTATCGGGGCGTTGAATTCAGGTTTCTCAGCGTTGAATTCCACTTGAAATACCCTCTAGTTGACGTGTTGACCAATCAACGCACGACTTACAAATTACAATCCAGAGTTCAAGGCTCGACCCTCGACTCGAGCACGTCTGAAAAATTCTTTCTTTTTTCTTTCTTTTTGAATATCATATAGTTCTTATAGTCATCTTGACTTTCTGTAGATTTTGTTTAATGATAATTTTCAAGCCATTATTTTAATTTTACACGGAATATTATACTCGAATAGCGTCAAACTTATTGTTTTCTTTTTTCTTTTTAACTGAAATGAAGTTGCTATAGTGTAATGCGGCTACCAAAATGTGRTGYGGCTTGGCTTGCTCAATGAGAACACCCAAATGGTAGAACGTACCGGGGATCTTTATTCGTCGTTAAAAGATGTACAAGTCTACAGAACTCAGAGTAAAGTATAATGATCTATAAGAGTTGTCACATTGTGTAGAATAGTATGTAGCTATAGAACAGAATAGAATATCTATATTTTGAGTCTCTATTTATAAGCTCAAACTTGCTRAACTGGTTATTCTATTAAAACGTCGCCATGATAATGGTGAATATTCATTATCTGATCATGACATAACTTATTGACTCGTGAACTCTTAGTCAAAAGAAACTCTTTGTTGACCGGATTAGCTTATTAAGCGTCGATGACAAAGGCTCAAGTATTGGTTTTTAAACAAACTGTGTAATAAGAATATAAGTCTTATTCAGTAAAAGATAGATAAATTCTGACTCAAAGTTTGTAGTAAACAAAACTTAATTGGTGACGCTCATTAGATATTCCAACAAGGATGTGCTCTACTGCGCTTGCGTTCTTTTCTCGTCAAAACTGGTTTAAACGACAGCTGCAGAGTGCTATTATCTATTTAATAATATACATGAAAAAATTACTCAATTCTGATTGGCTGATAACATCTCAATTAATTCTTAATTCAGTGCAATTACATTTCTGCAATGCAATTACAACAGATTGAACAGTGCAAAAAGCTGTAATATCAGTGCAATTACAATCAAATTTGCGCTTTTGATTGGCTAAGAAACAAAGAAATGTTTTTAGCCAATAAGAATCAAGCTTTCTTTGTAACTGAAAACTTTTGTCAAGAATCCAAGATGGCGGACACTTCGCCAATAACAGACAAAAAAGTACTCAAAAACTATCAACAACTGCTTAAAAGAAATAACAAAAGCTTTCTCACTGAAGAATTGGACTACGATTTTGCATTTGTGAAGTTTCAAGCTTGCTAGTTGCCATTTCAAGACGATTTTGCATCGAAAATAGTCTCGCCTTCCTCACCCGTCCAGCTCGATGGAATTCAGTACAGTTTCAACGTGAAACCAGCTCAAATACTGGCTTTTTTTCCACATTAGCCTGCAAAAGGTATTTTTTTTGCTTAAGTGACAATGTTTTTACTGGTCAAATTCAAATAAATTCACTTTAAAATGGAGTAAATCATGTTTTTTATCAGTAAAAATGACAAAGTACAAGTTTTGAAATTGAAATTTGTTTTTCTTCAATTTTTTGAATTCTTTTGTACAAAAGAAAACCTAATATGTTAAAAACTGGCGTTTTTTTTGCTAGCTTTGATAGTAAGACAAGTGTAATAATTGTTTGTCAAGAAGAAAACAAAAAGACTTAGTATGCATTGATGATATTTTGCTTACATGTCGTTTTTATCGTTGGCTCCTTGTCTAGCCTTGTCAGTTTTGGCTTCAATTTTTTCATGTATATTATTAATAGATAATAAGATGGTTTCTCGTTCAATTTGGATTAATTTGCACTCGTTTGTTTTTCAAAGACGGCCTCACGCAATTATGGCCTCTTTGAAAAACAAACTCGTGCAAATTAATTCCAAATTGAACTCGAAACCATCTTATTACCTATACTAAGTACAAAATAGTGACTAATAATCCAGTTTCGAATTCTCCAGAATAAAAGTGTGAGATTTCAAATCAATTCCATTGTCTTTCTTTTCAAATTCCATGCGTTTTCTCAGGCTATCAATGAAACAAAAGAATATGTTACTTGGTTTTGAGGCTAATACAGAGCAAACCAGAACTCGAAATTGGAGTATTGTTAAAAACTATTTAGTTCTTATTTCATGGATTAAATAAAATTGCACTACTTAAACGGTTATTTTCTTACTCTTTTGTAATCTTCCAATACAAGTTCTTTTATCTTCAAAGGTGACAGAGGTCCTTCGACCGAAGCTTCTCTTCGAACATATACCTATGTAAACATTAACAAAGACTTGGTTTAGGTTAAGTGTAATAATTTGAAAATCAAATAAACAGTATTTAACATTTTTAATCGCAGACATACGTTTCGGCCTACGTAAGCCACCAGTGGGTACTATCGTCGTGTACCCTATAACCAAGTACGTCATACGTTTCCGAACACACGAGTGGCAACTGAACACAATTTTTTCCAAAGGGAGTCGGTTAAAAGCTCGTTTTTTGTGACGCGTTAAAGTGCTAGTCTTATCAAAAAACTAAAATTCTTGAAATTTATACAGAATAAAATATAAATACCAAATAGTATTCTGGCCATTTTTTGTGTCTATATGTCAACGGAAAGATATCTTTTTGAACCGATGAATTTCGCGTTTTCTGATCCAACATTATTTGAGAGCGTGCCGTCCAACATATTCATAGGAAGTGACGTCAGAGGCGCACTCGCGCCAAATTCAAGACGAGCTTGCGGTAATTTTCAACAAGAAGTTGAGCAGTCAGTCTTTTTCGCAGTGTTTTATCGAGTTGAATGTAGAAAGATCACTTTGCGCCATATTGTTTCTCTTGTTGTCTCTGCTCGACGTGTGCCTCTGACGTCATAGCGTGCAACCGCTGAGTCAAAAATCGCTTATTCATATTTAATGGCGGACGGGATTGTTGCTGTCTTTTAGCATTAAAACTCAAATGAAAACAGCTTTTATGGATCAAACTAGCCTCCTTCGCAGGCAACTCTACTCCGTGGGATTCCTGTGTTAAGGCAAAAAAGHTGMCGGAGGGRGARGGGCTAGGAAGGAAGGAAAAGCAGGAGGAGTTGCCTGCCGAATTTGAACAACTAGATGACAGTTCGCGCATGTTTTCTGCGCATACTAAAATTTACCAAGCGGGGGAAGGTAGAAAAATTTGTATCAAGCAAATTCTCTTTAGTATACCCTGGTAGTTCAGAAATTGATAATTTTCAAACGGCGGTTGAGTGTTAAAGATAGTAAACTTGAAAGTCTCTCAGAAAAACTCTCTACTTTGCCTGYTTATAATCCAGGTACGGCTCAGAAAGAAACACTGTGCAACTAAAATCACTCTTCGAAGCACAACTAGAAGCAAGCCATCTCTTTACGGAAATATTACGAAGCGGCGTTGAAGGCTTCGTTTGGCCTTCTTGATCTCGGTTTACGAAACACATCGTATCGGTCGAAGTTCTTCGAAACTCTAACTCAGATGTGTTGAAGTTTGTATTCCAAAGGACAGAAAACGGTCAATCTCGAGTTTTTTTGCAATCTACAAACGTAAAAAGTTAACAAATTCACGAAGAAGTTCTACGTGTGAATTCGACCTCAGTTGACCTAATATACGCGTCGTTTTATTACACGTATATCAGTTATTTTGTATTCTGTACTTGGATGGAATCGCACTTTGTCGGTTAAATGACACATTCACTACCCTGGTAGTATGGTTCCACAGGCTTGTCTTTTTTTCTTGCGTGCTAAACATATGTTATTGAGCCGCGAAGCGGTGAGATGTTTCCGTTAATCGGTTTGGAAACATCTTGGCGCTTCGAGGCTCAATATTACATATCTACATAAGCTGAGTATAAGCAAAAGAATAAAAGACAAGCCTCTGGAAACCCTACCCTGACAAGTAGTCATTTTTGTTGACCCCCTTCGTTTGTTTTACGATATATTTTTGCTTTTCAACACCAGTTCTTCTCGGTCAAGAATATGAACACAGGAAGACCAAGAAGAGAAAAATTTCCGTTTCCGATGGAGTAGCCTGCGAAGGAGGCTAGGATCAAACTTTGTTAATTTTTAGTATTTACGGTTATTTCAACGATATGGAATACATAAAACCTGTTTTTGAGGCGARTTATTTTCGTAAGACTAGCACTTTAAGGTTATGAAGTTTTCGATAATTCCGAAATGGCCGCGTGCTATAGTAGGGGSCTGAGTCGAGTCTAGTATGACGTCTTCTAAGGAACCAAAGTTCTCATATCGATTGATATTTCAACTAAGAATTGTTGGGAGTTTATAACAAGAATGAATACCTTGGCACCAGGCACCTTCGCACCAGGCCCCTGATTTCAAAGAGAGCGCATTTTTCCGAAATAAAAAATAATCATGATGAATATCGGGAATCCGTCGAATTCGCAATCTTTTTGCGGAAAGTTACTATAGATAGATTATCCTAGAATTAAAAAAAAATTGAGTTCAGTTGCACTTTAACCATAAACCTAAGCGTTACGCCACGAGATGATTTCGCTTGTTTTTTTTCTAAATAAATAAATAAATAACTAAATAAATAACTAACTAACTAACTAAATAAATAACTAAATAACTAACTAAATAAATAACTAACTAAATAACTAAATAAATAAATAAAGATGGTTTATTTTCACTTCTTGCAGTTAGAAAAAAACTGAATAAACAGTGAGATTAACATCAATGAGTAATAGGAAGACTATAATATATGATAAATTTCAGAAAAAGATTAAGGAAACTATAATAAATATTTACTATTTACATGTTAGACTACTAAATAGTGTTTATTGATATTTAAATGTAAAAAAGTCATTTGCTCTCTTAGTTCTTTTCATTATTCTTGTATTGGTATTTCCAGATCTTAGATTGTATGGGATACTAGTATTTAAGCAATTTCTTATTAATATTTCACTGTATTTATCTGTAATTGCAAGTATGATTTCAGACCAAAATTGCACACGAACTTCAATTACCAATTTATTACATCCATTTTGAAATCCTAATAAAAAAGAMAGTCGTGGCCTTTTAAAACCGGAACCGGARAGTCTTTTACATCTCATTTGCAATTCATAAACTGACAGGTCATGTTACGACGAACTTGTCAAATTTCAAACGAGCGTTTTTGTTCAAGTTTTATTTTATTTTGAGTCCTCATAAGATTAAATTATGGAGGCCGTCTGTTTCGCCTGTCGTAAAGAAGATCTAAGAATTGTTGCAGGGTCTTTGAGATGGAAATTTTAACGTGTTTATCGACAAGTTTGCGTAAAGCTGTCATCGGCGAGGAAAACCACAGGTAGGCCAAGCACTGAACTTGGCAGAGAAAAACGAAAAGTTCAATAAAAGTGGTAAAACTGAATAAAACTATTTCAAACTACAACATAGGTTTGAACGGCTTTAGTGCATAGTCAAGAGCAGGTATGCCTCTAAGACATCAAAATTGTCAAAGTTTTACTTGCTTGACAATCAAGATGGCGGCTCGTGAACGAGGACATTCATCCACATTTTCCAAAGTTTTGTTGCTGTCTTTGTTCGTCGGAACAACCGTAATTTCAATTAATACAACAAGGGAAATGCAATTAAGACCGAAATAATACTGTTCGACAAGTTTGTATAGTCACAAGCAAGGCACTTTGAGATTTTTGACTGCCCGGGTGACTGCCTGACGTTTAGTCCCAGAACTAAACATCAGGCAGCACATTTTTTGGTGAAAAATCGTCGGAATAACTGTAATTTCAATTAAGGTATCTGGGGACAGTTGTTTTTAGTACCGACCATTACGAAAGAAACGCATCGAAATGCAGTTTATTTGCTTTGATCCGGTCAATATTTTGTCAAATGAAGGATAAAAGACCAAAATATGTTATATATAGATTTCATGAAAATCGAGTATAATTTATTCAAGTTATGGGGAAATCCTGGAAAACACTTAAAAAAAAACAAAAAAAACTTGAATATTTCGCAAACCTGCCCTATTTTCTCTAAAATATTTCTGAACCTTGTTATTAGTGGTATTACAAATTTGTGTGAAAATTTTAGACGAATTATGTCGAGCGCAACTTAAAATATGATCTCGTATACACGGAGCAGGCTTTTTCAAAGAAAAAACTCAAGCTCAAAGTTCGATCATTCGATTTCTGCGCTAGTGAACTTTGTTCCTATTCCTACATTCAWGYTTAGKTTGGGCGCTRTTYGTCAATTCGTTGCTGAGGCAGAGCCAGAATACTTAAAGTGTAGTTTTAGTGCTAGTCTGCCCATCTGACGGATACGAATGTCGAACGTCGTATCTCAAAAACCTGTCCAAAGAATCTTTTTAAATTTCTTGAGCATGAAGCCGAATCCCCTCTTTATGTTTTTCGTTTGGTCTTTTTCCAATTGAAATAATCGATGTCGCTAGTTCAATTAAATCAAACAATA